CCAACAGGGGCGCCTGGGTGGCTTAGTCGGTTAAGCGTCCGACTTTCGCTTAGGTCATGATCTCTCGGTTCGTGGGTTTGAGCCCCTCTTTGGGCTTTGTGCTGACTGCTAGCTCAGAGCCTGGAGCCTGTTTCAGTCTGTGACTCCCTCTCTCTCTGACCCTCCCCTGCTCATGCTCTCTCTCTCTCTAGAAATAAATAAAAACCTTAAAAAAAAAATTAAAAAAAAAAATCCAACATAGTCTATTAGGTTGTGGGGATAGAGAGATTAACCGGGTCTTTGCCATCATGGAGCTTGCCTTCAGGAGAGATAGACATTAAATAACCAATGACAAAATTATTTGGTTACAAATGTGGTACATACTGCAGAGAAATACTGGATGCTAGTAGAATACTCACACACACACACACACACACACACATCCATGCATGCACCACATACAGAATACAAATAAGACCAAAGGTACTTTATTACCCACTGAAGCTCTGGTTCCCCAAATCTAGTGAAGAGTTCAATTGGATGGTGTGGCGGTGTACCCCCCTTTTTTAAGCCAGAGAGGCCTAAGTGTCCTATAACTGGACAGATAAAAGCCTGCTCTAACTGCCTCTACCCGAAGTCAAACCTCGGATCTCATCATGACACTGTGGGCACTCTGTCAGGGGACAAAGAACCATATGAGAGAAGAAAGAAATGGAGGTTTTCCCTGGTGCTGTGTTGATCTGCTCCAGGTCCTTCTTGGGCTGGAGGTGAGGAGGTTGTGAGGAATTGGTGGGAAGGAAGGGAGATAACTTTCGAGGAAGTGGACACTCCTTCAGGTCTTCCTTCTCTGACTTCCAGTCCCGTCTCCCCCCTAGGCACCCCCCTGCCCCCCCGCCAGCCTCCTCCTCCCTCTCTTCTGCTCTTTGTCCTGGAGGTTCCTCATGGGCTCCATGTTTCCCGGCATTCAGCTTTTGGGCTGATCTTGTCCTTCCTGGACGTTCCACCTGCACCTACAGCTCCGGGACCATCCACACATGGCTGACTTTCAAGATTAGTTTCTCACCTGGATATTCTGCAGATAGCTCCTATCTAGCATGTTCTAAACACAATTGTGTCTTTTTCTCACCAACCCGGCGTAGTTCTCCCTCTGTTTCTCAGGAGAACAATAAAAGGCAATCCATTCAGACTGTCAAGCTCAATGATTGGCAGTCAGCCTAGACTCCTGCCTGTCCTTATTGCTCACCTCCTAGTGCCTCTCCTTCAGAGGTGTCTCATGGCTTTAAACACAGGGCTCTGGGACCATCCCTTCCCCTTCTTTGCTGAATAACTTCTTCAGTGTCTTGGCTCCTGGCTTTGGAGTCTGGCAGGCCTACTTTTGAATACTGACTTGATGGCTTACAACCCATATGACCTCTGGCAGGTTACTTAACTTCTCTAAGTCTCATGTTTATAAAATGGACACAGTAATATCAAGCTCATGGGCTTATTTTAAATTAATTCTTAATATAGTTTTACAAAAAGTTTAATATTTGATTTTTTTTTTTTCTGAGAGAGAGAGAGAGAGACAGAGCATGACCAAGGGAGGGTTAGAGAGAGAGGGAGACACAGAATCTGAAGCAGGCTCTAGGCTCCAAGTTGTGAGCATAGAACCTGACCCGGGACTCGAACCTCTGAATTGCGAGATCATGACCTGAGCTGAAGTCAGATGCTTAACCGACAGAGCCACCCAGATGCCCCTAATTCTTAATATATTTTTTCCAGTTTTATTGAGAAATAATTGACCTATATCACTTAAACTATAAGTTTAAGGCGTACACCGTGATAGTTTGACTCACATATATTGTGAAATGATTATCATGGGGTTATTTTGAAGATGAAATAAATGACACTTTTAAAGCACAATACATACTATCAGGCCCAAAGTATAACTCAATAAATGTTCACTGTTGCTTCTTATGACTGCTATTAAAATGAGATCTTTTTTGTAAGTTTATTTATTTATTTTTGAGGGAGAGAGAGAGACAGAGAGAAAGAAAGAATAAACAGGAGGGGGGTAGAGAGAAGGACAGACAGAGTCCTAAGCAGGGTCTGCACCATTAGCACAGAGCCGGACGTGGAGCTCGAACTCACGAACCGTGAAATTATGATCTGAGCTGAAGCTAGACACTTAACTAGCTGAGCCACCCAGGCACTCCAAATGAGAGCTAGTCTTTAAAGAAAATCTATCAGTGTTTAACATATTTTAATTGCTGAGTAAAGAGTGTCCTGTTCTTAGAACCCCAGCTCTACTCCAGAGCTTTTTTGTCTACTTCAAAAAACACCAGAATCATCTTTCTAAAAAAACAGTCCATTATTTTCCTGCTTTTAGCTAGCCATTGCTCATGGGAGTAAGTCTGTACTTCGTCTGGTCGGCAGGGTGGTGCCCAGTCTGCCTGTCTCCCTCTACAGCCTCATTTCCTGTCTTTCGTCCTTCTCAGCACCTTGCACTTCTCTGTTGCTCACTACTGTGAATATGCCACACCCTCCTACAGCTCTAGACCTGCTCTAGACCTTCTCTTTGCTCTGGTGTCTTCCCACACACTCCCGCCCCACTTTAGCCATTCGTCCCTTAACGCCATGCCCTCCCCAAAGCCGGCCTCCCCAGGTCTGCCAGTGAGAGTGGATGGCTTCTTGCTCTATACCCCGTGGTACTTGTGTGTGACTTTGTTCCAAGATTTATTGAGTCGTAATTTATCTGCTTATATGTCTGTTCCCTCCGTTAGACCGCACACACATTCCCGAGGGAAGGACATGTGTTCTGACCATTGTCACAGCCCAGTGTCTGGCATGGGAGAATTCATCATTCAGTAAATGGTGAATAAAGAACCTTGGAGCCAGTTCCAAAGAGAACTTCAAGAAATGTTTTCAGTTATCAGTACTGTTAAAATGAGGGCATCACTTTTAAAAAGGCAGCATTAATGTGGATGTTTAATACCTGATGTGTTTATAAAGAAGTCTTTCCACCTGGGGACACCTGAAGGGAAAAGCAAGCACATTTCCTTAATCGGCTCCTAGGGATGAAGTATCTGACATCCTGTAATCAGATCTCCGTCTCATCCGTGCAAGAGAGCACGGCATAGGCAGGAGGCAGATGGCAATTTTGAGATGTCATTTGTTGTTGTCATAGTGAATGAGCAGAAGGGAAGGACAAGGAAGGAAACTTTCATGTCTCCTTTCTCATCTCTGTTTGATAGCAAGGGGGTCGAGAGTGGGAAGGAAATCTGCCTCCCTGGCGGTCAGAGAGAAGGCAAGGGGCGGGGTGTTGCCTTTTCCTACCGACCAGGTGGTGAGCTGGTGTCAGAGTGATGTGTGAGTGAGCAGGGTAGTCCGGTGCTCCAGGGCCTTTGAAGGGTGATGGGGAGGGAAGGGGCCGAGAGTATTTGGGGCTTGTTCAAGCTGAGAAAAGACTGGCACCAACATCATCTTCATGCTCCTTGGTGGGGTGAACAGATAAGATCTTTACATCTATTAGGGTACTCATGTCCACAACCGGAATATTTCATTGATTTCATTTTATCTGTGCTCTGAGAGAAGCATTGATGTAGACCCAGGAAAGCTTTAGACAGCCATAGGGATTCCTCTGGGGTCTCACCAGGAATTTGTCTGTTTTCCAATCTCTGCCTGTATTCTCACTTACTGACAGCTGCCCTGGGCTTACCCGAGACCCAGTAATGCTGCTGAGGGGATGATTTAGTAAAGATGTAAAATCTTCTTTGGCAAGAGATCATCCATAGACCACGGTCTAACTGTGGCATTGGTTCTGAGTACGGGGGAAATGAGTCAATCCTACAGGTACCCAAGATACAGGCTAGGCTCTCTTCCCATGTTCGAGGCTCAGAAAGGAGAAACAGGGGATGAGATGAGGGGAAGCATCTTCTGAGATGGGGAATTATCTTTTTCACCCTTCTTCTTCTTTTTTTTTATGTTCATTCACTTTTGGGGGGGCACAAATGGGAGAGGGGCAGAGAGAGAGGGAGACACAGAATCTGAACCAGGCTCCAGGCTCCGAGCTGTCGTCACAGAGCCAGATACAGGGCTTGGACCTACGAACTGTGAGATTATGACCAAAGCTCAAGTTGGACACTTAACCCACTGAGCCACCCAGGCACCCCTTTCTCACCCTTCTTGATGGGAATCTTACTTTGGGTTTCCCAGAAAACAGAGCCTGTGGCACAGGGCTTATATTTATTACACAGTGGGGAATGACACCCTGGGAAGCAGGGGTGAGGGGTAAGGTGAGTAAAGCAGGGGAGGAGAGAGAGCCAATACAATCTGTTGGAAACTGTGTTACCTCAGAACCAATGCCCTCTTACAGTTTCCCACACTGGCAAATTTATTACATGAAATACACAAAATATTCAAGCAGAACAACTTGAAGAAATCTGTGGCTTTCCAATAAATCAGAATTAAATAGCTTCAGTTAGAGAAGTCCCAGAAATATCCAGGGACCTTGTGGAGAATTTATTTAGTCTACCCCACGCTGCTGCTGAGGAATGGCCCTGTGTGTGGCGATGCATGTCATTCCCTTGTTGGGAAACAGCAGTGACCTGGAAATAAAAGCGCTGTGTCAGCCAGGTGGGATGAGGAAGCCGGAAACAGATCTTACCTGTTTGGCTACAGGGAAGATTCAGGGCTCGGCTCTGGGCCTCTCCATCCCACACGAGTGGAACTCCAGTGGCATCCAGTGGCCTGCCAGGCCAATCACAGGTTGGAATTCTTACCCATCTTACCCAAAAGTGGGTATCCATCTTTTCTTTTCCTTCAAGTCAGGTAATGGGCCAGGCCCATCCTTGATGAAGATAAATTGGGTGATTGGCCAGGGACAGCTCGAATTGCCCGATTTGGCTTCTGAATCAGAACATGAATGGCAATTAGCAGAGATGTCAGCCGCACAGACGAACTACCTCCATCATGATTGCCATTAGGATTTTTCCAGAGCCCCTTGATGTATTTTGTGAATGGACTCTCTTTTTCTGTTTTAGAAATAATTACAGAAATTAATGATGTATCAGTGTTTAATAACAGCTGTGTGAGGTGGCAAATAAACCGAGGAAGCACAGTCTCCAAGATTATCTATGTGGTAAGTAAAATGGTCAATGTTTTCCTGCCAGGGCAGAAATGCTATCCAACAGGAACATGACTTGGGGGGACTTCCTTCTCTAAGGGCTTCTCAATCTAATTGTCTGATTGTCCTTTTAAAAAGTGATCAGGGGGTGCCTGGGTGGCTTAGTTGGTTGAACATCTGACTTCGGCTCAGGTCATGACCTCACATCACAGTTTGTGAGTTCGAGCCCCGCATCGGGCTCTGTGCTGACAGCTCAGAGCCTGGACCTGCTTTGGATTCTGTGTCTCCCTCTCTGTCCTTCCCCTGCTCATGCTCGCTCACTCTCTCTCTTTCTCTCTCTCAAAAATAAATAAAAATTTTTAAAAAGTGATCAGAATTTTTAAGACAGTCTGGTGTATTTTATTTTACAATCTGTGTTTAATATATTTGTCATTCAACAGAGTGTCTGTGTGGGGGATATGTTTATATTTGGCATCATCACCATCTCATGTTTCCAAGCACTTGTATTTCCCTCCCCCAGAGGGGGCCTGGAAGCATCTGCTGACTCAGCGACAGGATGCTATGAGTGGCTCTCAGGTTGTGACTGCCTCCTTGATGGCTGGTCATTCGTGTCCTTTTATGTTACTTCTTAGGGTTTATTGGTTACTGCGCTGATGAGACCTCATCATCAAGTACCTGATAGCAGAAGCTCATCCCGTTCATCTCCCCTGGGTGCACCGTGCAATAGGGGGATGGGTTCAGGACGACAAAGTCTCTCTCGGTTGTTTTCTTATTTTTTAATTTTAATTTTTATTTATTTATTTTTTTAAGATGTTTCTTTTTTTTTTTAATGTTTTATTTATTTATAGGAGAGAGAGAGAGAGAGAGAGAGACAGCGTGAGCAGGGGAGGGTCAGAGAGAGAGGGAGTCACAGACTGAAACAGGCTCCAGGCTCTGAGCTGTCAGCACAGAGCCCGACGCGGGGCTCGAACCCACGAACCGCGAGATCATGACCTAAGCAAAACTCGGACGTTTAACCGACTAAGCCACCCAGGCACCCCAACTTATTTTTTAATTTTTAAAAAAATGTTTATTTATTTTTGAGAGAGAGAGAGGCACAGAGAGAGAGGGAGACACAGAATCTGAAGCAGGCTCCAGGCCCTGAGCTGTCAGCACAGAGTGCGATGTGGGGGTCAAACTCACAAACCACGAGATCATGATCTGAGCTGAAGTCAGATGCTTGACCGACTGAGCCCCCCGGGTGCCCCTCTCTGTTATTTTAACCAGAGTCATGGTGAGTTCTTTTTTTTTTCTCTCTCCCAAAGATATACATAAAAGGACAACAGTTACACCCTGTGGAATCAGTTCACGAGGAGACTGTCAACCTGACCACAGACAGCAGGACCCCAGAAGTGTGCCTGCATCTGTACCCAGGCACCAACTACACCGTGAGCATTTCTACTGCTCTTCCCACACGCTCCGTGCCCGCCATCATTGGGTTCCAGACAACTGGTAGGTGGAGGTGAAGTCTCATTGCCTCCTAGAAAATGCCAAGCACAGGATGTAGGGAAATGTACCTCAGAGTCAACTGGGCATGAGAGTTCCCAGTTTCTTTCTGAGATTTGTAGCCAGAAGGATGCTGTTTCTCCAGGGGTCAGAACGAGCGCAAGCCTAGCAGGAGAGATTCCTATCCTACTGATGCACTGATGTATTGTTTCTCAGCTGGGTCCCTGGTTGAAATGGAAGATAATAAGGCATTTAAAAGAGGAGAACATTCGGTGATAGTGCAGCCAATTCCCAATTATCCAAGGCACTGGAGAGTAGCCATGTGGCTTATCTTTGGTAGGAAATGCCAAGGTCATCATTTCTTACTCTTGGCCATGAGAGAGGAGGAGCCAGGGAGGGTGACCCAGCAGCTTTCCATTTAGGTAGGAAACGGACCCCAGGACTGGTGAGGGGAATCAAGTTGATAGTGAGCCAGTGGATAAGGAAAGGCAGCCCTAGGATGCAGGAAGGGAGATATTAAGTGAGAAGAGAAGTGGACAGGAAGGAGGTTTCAGAAAGTAGTAATAAACCTCATCGCACATAGTTATCGCCTGATTTTTATAAAAATATTGTGACTATTATAATAAATTTGTTTTCATAATTCTGGTTATAGGGTGTCAGGACTGATTAAATACTTTATAAGAAAATCTCTAGAATCCATTAGTGTCATTTATTACTTTGGGTGAGTTGAGGTAGTTCTCAATTAGCTGTTTGATGTCTCACTTAAAATGTGCCTCAGCCCTCGGGTGTTAACCACCACCAGGAACTGGGAAGTGACATGGATTTGGCAGAAATAATCGAATAGTCTGCCGATTTTAACAATAGAAAGCCAAATATGAAATTACACAGATTAGGTTCCTAGGGTCCTTATATATAAAAAAAACCCAAAATCTTTCTTTCTAAATAAATAATATGCAGGGAAAGATGTTATAGAATTAATATGATAACCAGAGAATCTTGTTCAAAATTAATGATAAACTCTGCTGTGGGTTTATTGGGAATATGTCTTCTTGGTGCACCTGGTGGCTCAGTTGGTTGAGCATCCAGTTTTGGCTCAGGTTGTGAGCTTGAGCCCCACATTGGGCTGTCTACTGTCAGCACAGAGCCCGTTTCAGATCCTCTCCCTCTCACTCTGCCCCTCCCCCTCTTTCTCAAAAACACATAAACGTTTAAAAAGAAAGGGTGTGTATTCAAAAAACACTCTCTGAAAGGGTGGGCCCTGGAAAGTCAAAGAGCCTTCTTGGATATAGCAGTGCTCATAGAAACAGAGAGAATAATAGGTCTTTAAAACCAACAAGAGCCGGAAAGCTAACTAAAATGACGAAACGAAAGACCTCTCCTCCAAAGAAACTCCAAGAAGAAATGACAGCTAATGAACTGCTCAAAACAGATATCAGCAGCATCACTGAACAAGATTTTAGAATAATAATGGTAAAATTAATAGCTGGGCTTGAAAAAAACATAGGGGACATCAAAGAAACTATGGCTACAGACAGAATGGAAAATAAAAATAGGCATGAAGAATTAAAAAATGCGATAAATGAGATCCATAATAAATTAGAGGCCTCCAATGCACGGATTGAAGAGGCAGAAAGGAGAATAAGTGATTTAGAAGACACCATTATAGAAAAACAAGAAGCTGACAAAAAAAGAGACAAACTGATCCAGGAACAGGAAAGAAGAATTCGAGAGCTCAGCGATACGGTCAAACGCAACAATATCCGTATCATAGGAATCCCAGAAGAGGAAGAGAGAGGGAAAGGTGCTGAAGGAGTCCTGGAACAAATTATAGCAGAGAACTTCCCCGACCTGGGGAAGGAAGTAAATGTGGAAGTACAAGAGGCTCAGAGGACTCCCCTCAGACGTAACCTGAATCGATCTTCTGCACGACATATCATAGTGAAAATGGCCAAATACAAGGACAAAGAGAGAATTTTGAAAGCAGCTAGGGAGAAAAGGGCCCTAACATACAAAGGGAAACCTATCAGAGTGGTGACAGACCTATCTACTGAAACTTGGCAGGCTAGAAAGGAATGGCAGGAAATCTTCAATGTGATGAACAGTAAAAATATGCAGCCAAGAATCCTCTATCCAGCAAGCCTGTCATTCAAAATAGAAGGAGAGATAAAAACCTTTCCAAATAAACAGAAATTGAAAGAATTTGTCACCACGAAGCCAGCCCTACAAGAAATCCTGAGGGGGATGCTCTGAAGGAAAGGTTGCAAGGAACAAAGATACCAGAGACACCACCACAAACATGAACCCTACAAAAGATACAAAGACTCTAAACCCACATATTTCAATAATAACACTGAATGTAAATGGGCTGAATGCTCCAATCAAAAGACATAGGGTAGCAGAATGGATTAAAAAACAAAATCCATCAATATGCTGTCTACAAGAAACTCATTTTAGACGGGAAGATACCTTCAGATTAAAAGTAAGGGGATGGAGAAATATATATCATGCTACAGGAAATCAAAAGAAAGCCGGAGTAGCGATACTTATATCAGACAAACTGGACTTTAAATTAAAGACAATCACAAGAGATGAAGAAGGGCACTACATAATAATTACAGGGTCCATCCATCAGGAAGAACTAACAATCATAAATGTCTACGCACCGAATATGGGAGCACCTAAATATCTAAAACAATTAATCACAAACAGAAACAAGCTTATAGATAAGAATGTGCTAATAGCAGGGGACTTTAATACTCCGCTTACAGCAATGGATAGGTCAACCAGACAGAAAATCACTAAAGAAATAATGGACTTGAAAGACACATTGGACCAGATGGATCTGACGGATATATTTAGAACTTTACATCCTGAGGCCAGGGAATTTACTTTCTTCTCAAGTGCGCATGGCACATTCTCCAAGATAGATCACATACTGGGACATAAAGCAGCCCTCAATAAATATAAAAGAATAGAGATCATACCATGCACACTGTCAGATCACAATGCTTTGAAACTTGAAATCAATTACAGGAAGAAGTCTGGAAAACCGCCAAAAACATGGAGGTTAAAGAACACCCTTCTAAAGAATGAATGGGCCAATCAGGCAATTAGAGAGGAAATTAAAAAATATATGGAAACAAATGAAAATGAAAACACAACAATTCAAAATCTATGGGATGCGGCCAAGGCAGTCCTAAGAGGAAAGTACATTGCTCTCCAGGCCTATTTCAAGAGATTAGAAAAAGCACAAGTCCAAAATCTAACAGCTCACCTAAAGGAGCTAGAGGCAGAGCAACAAGAACGCCCTAAACCCAGTAGAAGAAGAGAAATAGTAAAAATTAGAGCAGAAATAAACAACATAGAGACCAAAGAAACAATTGAACAGATCAATGAAACCAAGAGTTGGTTTTTTGAAAAAGTAAACAAAATTGACAAACCTCTAGCCAGGCTTATCAAAAAGAAAAGAGAGAGCACCCAAATAGACAAAATTATGAATGAAAATGGACTTATTACAACCAACCCCTCAGAAATACAAGCAATTATCAGGGAATACTATGAAAAATTATATGCCAACAAATTGGACAACTTAGAAGAAATGGACAAATTCCTAAACACACACTCACTACCAAAATTCACACGGGAAGAAATAGAAAACCTGAACAGACCCATAACGAGTGAAGAAATCGAATCAGTGATCAAAAATCTCCCAACAAATAAGAGCCCTGGACCTGATGGTTTCCCTGGGGAATTCTACCAGACATTTAAAACAGAATTAATCCCAATTCTTCTCAAGCTATTCCAAAAAATAGAAGTCGAAGGAAAACTCCCGGACTCATTTTATGAAGCCAGCATCACTCTGATTCCCAAGCCAGACAGAGATCCAACAAAAAAAGAGAACTATAGGCCAATATCCTTGATGAATACGGATGCAAAAATTCTCAACAAGATCCTTGCAAATCGAATCCAGCAGCATATCAAAAGAATCATCCACCAAGATCAAGTGGGATTCATTCCTGGGTTACAGGGCTGGTTCAACATTCGCAAATCAATCAATGTGATCCATCATATCAATAAAAGAAAAGATAAAAACCATATGATCCTGTCAATAGATGCAGAAAAAGCATTTGACAAAATACAGCATCCCTTCTTAATAAAGACTCTCGAGAAAGTTGGGATAGAAGGAACCTACTTAAACATCATCAAAGCCATCTATGAGAAGCCTTCAGCTAACATCATCCTCAACGGGGAAAAACTGAGAGCTTTCCCCCTGAGATCAGGAACACGACAGGGATGTCCACTCTCACCACTGTTGTTTAACATAGTGCTGGAAGTCCTAGCATCAGCCATCAGACAACAAAAGGAAATCAAAGGCATCAGAATTGGCAAAGAGGAAGTCAAACTTTCACTCTTCGCAGATGACATGATACTCTACATAGAAAACCCGACAGACTCCACCAGAAGCCTACTAGAACTGATCCAAGAATTCAGCCAAGTTGCAGGGTACAAAATCAACGTACAGAAATCGGTTGCATTTTTATACACCAACAATGAAGCAACAGAAAGAGAAATCAAGAAACTGATCCCATTCACAATTGCACAAAAAACCATAAAATACCTCGGAATAAACCTAACCAAGGATACAAGAGATCTGTATGATGAAAACTATAGAAAACTTATGAAGGAAATTGAAGAAGACACAAAGAAATGGAAAAACATTCCATGCTCATGGATAGGAAGAATAAATATAGTTAAGATGTCATTACTACCTAAAGCACTCTACACATTCAATGCAATTCCAATCAAAATTGCACCAGCATACTTCTCAAAACTAGAACAAACTATCCAAAAATTTGTATGGAACCACAAAAGACCCCGAATAGCCAAAGTAATACTGAAAAATAAAACCAAAACGGGAGGTATCACCATCCCAGACTTCAGCCTCTACTACAAAGCTGTCATCCTCAAGACAGTATGGTATTGGCACAAAAACAGACACATAGACC